TACATTAATGATATCTGCCTTGTTCTGTTCTGTTAACCCTAGTGGGGTTATTATTGCTGCTCTCCCTGCTCATTCATGACAGGCTGCATGGACGGGCAGGGAGTTTTTTGCCCAGAACAGAACCATACCGCCAAACCAAACGTTATGCCAAGTATCTATCATTTTGACGATAGTGGTCCTGACAGAATAATAAGCTAAGTAAAAGATTCTTCTTGTTCAATTGTCACACTGGAAAAGAAACGCTGAGCACAATAAGACACTGCACATTGTGCTAAACTATTCACAGAACATTCACATAATCTGCACAATATGCATAAAGTACTGCAAAAAATAGTATGCATAGCACTATGGTAGTTTGCTATTCCAAACTTAGTGAGTCTTTTCCACACTGTCCCTCACATTCACTGTCGGCTTCATTCTAATGTTGAAATGACACAACTGCATGTCTTTTAATGAAGCGCATAATGCATCCTCAACATCTGTACTACACAATTAAGCTACTGTTCAATCATGCCACCACTTTACCAAAGTTCATAAGCCAAACATGTAACCAGGCATTCAATTACAGCCATTTCAGGGCAAGCTATAGTTAGCCATTTGAAACGTTATGCCCGACCACTGCTTGATTTGTGGTGATGCAATGAAATGCACAAAGCCACCACCATTTCAGTCACCTTGAAAACTGACTATCCCAGGTTTAGCGCTATATTAGCTGTGTACAATTGTATTTGTTGAAAATCTGCACAGTTTCAGTCCCAGAGATGGAGTTGGGGAGCGGTGAGCCCTCATGATGCATATGGACGGCTAATGAGTTCCAGGTGTGTGTGCCAATATCTCACATGAACCTATTATAACATACTGCACTTCATACGCACGGCACCTTAAGCTCCCCTACTGAAACCAAACACGCCACTTTAATAAGCAAGGCAAGCCTAATTGAGTTCTATCTTCATTATTTTTTGACTTTATCAAACTGTTGAAGGGCCTGTGCTCACCGGTACAGTTTTTATTTTTTCTTTAGTTTCTTTTGCATTCCAAAGAGGTGAGCAGCCTGGAAACTTAACTGCCTCCAACAAGTTTTTTTTTTCCTTGTAGTAATTGTGGGAAGTGATTATTGTAAACACACACACACTCACTCACAGTACCCCATACGAAAGTACACCACCACATCAGGAGAAAACAGCAACCAGATGTGCTTTTAGCAGAATGACCAGAGGAAACACTGACTATTAAAGGTAGAGTGAGAAGAAGTGTAATATGAAGGGATGCGTAGTGCACAGCAAATCACTAGAACATTTCACATTTACTGTATGCACCATATGCAGCATGCACCATATATGTGTGTGTATGTAGGTCCATATATAATATAATTCCTATATATATAATAGAATCCCTGTTGTTCAAACTTAAAAAGGAACAATAGGGACATTTGTATTAAAAGCACGATTTATACATTTAGCATAAGAAACTACGTAACTGTTATTATGCAATTACTTAGTCACCTGCCATTGCGGTTTAAAAAACATTTGTTTAATATATCTTAATATCCTGTCCCCTTGAGACATTCACCTCCTAAACGAATCAAAGACGAACTTTTAAGGAGCTGTACTCAGCGTAATTGTGCCATCTTTCTCAGCAGCTTGTGTAACATGGCAGATATGACACTGGAACAATCTCTGCTGTCTTTTGATCAGTCAAGGCCCTCAAGGTATAACCGTCTCTTCTTTCACTTCACACTTTACGCTGTCACAGCTCTTCAGATTCACTTCAGATTCAAGTGTCCATCTGCTCTGCAGCCACTAGATTTATAAGGATTGTTTTTTTAGACAATATAAAATATTTGGAGTACCTGGAGGCGTTTGACATTTGAAGGTCCTGGAACTCATTTAGCACTTGCGGTTTTCCATAAGTAATAAGAGCTCTGGGACTGCAGCAGGAAGGAGCGCTGCGACTGTAAATATTCCTCATTTACTTGCTCCTCTTTGGGCATTATGGCTAGTTTTCCAAATGTTACATTAGATTAGCCTACACACTGGCTGTGAGTGACCAACATTAGTGCTGTTTGCCAAGTCAAGCATTACTATTACTATTGTTCAAACGTGTAGCTGAGGGTTTGTTCAAATATTTAAAGGGATCGTTCACCCAGAAATGAAAATTCTGTCATTTACTTACCCTCATGTCGTTCCAAACCTGTATGACTTTTTTTTTCTCTCTCTTTTTAACAATGAAAGTTGGTTTAGTCCATTGTTGTTTTGGATGCCATTTACCTTTTTATTCACATATGGCAAAATATTTTGAATATATATATATAGAGACCTACTGCATTAGCAGCGAGTTTTGAGCAGGCCTTCAGTTAGCCCACCTTCCAAACCCCAGCTGATTTGTTTGGATGAACCCAAGATTTGATTAGATGACTCTCACAACTTCATCTTTGATGACATACCAAGATAACAAACAAGAAACAACAGAAAAACCCCAAACAAACTCAAACCACATTATCAGATGCATCATTTTAATCAATGTGAACAAGGTTTGAACACCTCAGTACAATGGCATCAGTGTGTTGTTAGAGGAGAAACATGCTGCAGAGAGCGTTTTGGATGTGATTAACAGCACATGCTGCTAACACAATGCGAGTCATGCGCAATATGGCATATTAAAATTCCCACTCACAAACTGTTCAACAAGGGTCTGTGATTTTTTTTTATTTATTTTTTTGTCTGATGAAGAGCCTGCGTTGCGTGCTCGAAACGTCACATATGCTATGCGACAGTCTTTTTAAAAAATAAATTTTTTGATACTTTTGGAGCTTTGGTGTTGCCGACTTTACATCTAAAATATTGCTACCATACATTTATGGAAACAAGAGCACAGATGTTCACTATTCATTGAGAGGCAGCGTTAATGCATTGCGGCATCATAAGAGAGTCAGTTACAGGTCAGCGCTGCAGTGTGTTCATTGCTTGACTACAGGCCTGGATGGTGATTACATTAATAGGCCTGATGCCTTTTGCCTAAAAGTATCTGGTAAAAATAGCACAGCTTTGTGACATATAAAAATATTTTGAGATGTGATTATCCGTATTGCTTTTGGACCGGAGTGTATGTCATGGCGGGCGTCCCAGGGAGGACACAGAGCCGTATTTGCACACAGTTTGAACACAGGCGTTTCCCATGGTGACTCTCTGCGGTAGGCCACATTATGGGATGGAGTTATCACCGGCTCCCGTAGACCACTGGAGAATTCCCTACTGCGAGAGATACTTCTCGAGTTACTCTGGGCATCCATAGTAAGATAGAATAGTTTTCCAAGATACAAGACAGTGGAGTCATTCTTTAGTGGAAGAAATACCTGACAGCGGTGCTGAATGGCTACCCATAGTGCTCTGACTTGATGCTCTGTGAGGAACTGTACCTAAATGGAAGAGACCATTCACTGCAGAACGAAGTATACAGCCAGATTGTATAAATGGATTGTTGATATCATTGAGAAATGAGTGCTGCTTTGACATGTCAAAAGCACTATCTACTCTTTTGAGAGGAATCCAAAAATAAAAATTTAATTAAATGGTGGCTGATATATTTGCCACTGGAAAAATGTAATTAGTATTATCAAAACCAATTGCTTTTTAATGAAAGTCTGTAAAACTGTAAATACAGTGTTTTAGCTTTTTATTAATTGGATTTAAGTATAGTTCAATCATGACAACTCTCGGAAGATTTTAGCATGGTGATGGATATGACAAAGTTAATGTATTTGGTCTTGGAGGAATAGATCTGCTACGCTGCTGCTGAATTGCTGCTGCCGTTGGCTATTGCTGTAGTTGTAGATTATTGCTGCTGCTGCAAGCAAGTACAGGAACTTGCTACTGCCAATGCATATGGCGATACGGTGCATGAGTATTTAAGACATACTGCTGCTGCACAAACAGCATATAAAATAACCCCGTAGCTGATCTATACAGGTGGAACTGGGGAAGGTGGAGGGTTTCAGAGAACTCGCGTTGCAGGAAAAGAGAAAGCGCGGTGCAGGAAATCTCAAGTGAATGCTAGCCAGCCATATAAATGCAAGGCAGTAAGCTCATTGGCTGCATATGCAGCATGAACCAATCAGCTGTGCCAAGTCGTTTAACTCTCTGAATATCATCGGTTACGTTAACAACCCGTCAGCCTGCGCCATCTAGAGTTTCATGACTGAACTATATACATATGCCCATTATTTCACATGAAACAATCAGCACAAAATGTGAGGAAAAATAAAACCTGTCTGTATATGATACTGTTCACACAAGATGTGCTCTCTAATACTGTCTGCTCTATTTTGTAATTGTTGGTCTATATAAATATGCCTCAGACAAACATCTTCGGTTATTGTTTTATACTGTTTTTTTTTTTTAAGATTTTATTTCTCTGCATTAACTACAGTGAGTATTTGTATACATTCATATAGAAATACTCACTCTAGTTATTGCAGAGAAAATTGTTTGATATATTTTAGACCTTTCCAACTAATGGCCTAAAACAATAGTACCCGATTAGTGTGTTTTAATCTCTTATGATTGATAATTAAATGAAACAGCAATAATTATATTATGGTGAGATCAGGGTTATTATATTTTTGAATTTAGATTTTAGATTTTTTATGTATTTTTTATTACAGTTCGTTGTTAGTTTAAGTTTTTTTTTTCTTTTTTTTTTTCTAGTTTCTGACTATTTTGTTTTGATTTTAGTTTTTGTATTTAATATTTAGTATTTTAGGTTCATTTTTTAGCACAGTCTAGTGCCATCTTTTAAAGTTTATTGCAGGCTGAATGTAAAGGCCTGCATTAAACCTTAATTTCAGGTTTTATAATATTCTATTATAATATTTCTCGTACTAAAATAATTTGTTGCAATTATTACTTTTCAGCTAGTTTTGAAGGATGAACATATATTTTACTAGGGTTTCAGTTTTAATTTTTATTTCAGTTAATGAAAATGTCGTTGTTAATAATAATACTAGGTCTGATTGCTATATGCATTGTAAAGTCTTTTTATATGACTATTTTGAGTGAAGTTAGTAGTTTTTAATTCATTAGCTAATAATTTTTGTTGAAAGGGATCAAATGTAAATAGTGAAAGTAATTGATATTGAATTAGCCACAACAAGCTTGGTCCAGGATATCCATAACATTGCAGTTCAGGTAACTGAAAACCAAAACCAGCCATGATGAGTATCTGAAATTAGAATAACAGTGGATCTCTAGTGCTGACAAACCTATGCGGCAGTCCTTTGGTGAGCTTCTAAGACAAATTCTATTCAGGACATCTGGCTAGATGGAAAAACAGAAGTATATATCACGACAGGGTTGTGTATACTCAACAGTAAATGACACAAGGATAAGTATACAGAAAAATAAAGGAAGTTTACTGTGTGAGTGTGCCCCCTTCTGTTGATTATGCTATCAGCTCTGAGAAAGAACAACCAAACAAATGTTACAATCACAAGCAAGTCATTCAGTGATTAAAGCACAGACTATTCTGAGAAAACAGACACGAGAGATAATATTTCATAGACTTTCATAAGGGATGCTAATGGTTTTTCAAAGAAACCATCAAACGCAGTCGACTGGAATGTAATTAAATAAGGTATACATTTCTCTGTCATGTCAGTTTTGTTCTGTACAGTTGATTATGAAACAGTTTAGTATTACTGAATCAAATATAAAAATAAAGAATTATGAAACAGTGAAATGTGAAACTACAGGACTTTTTACAAGTTGTTCTAAAGGTTTACTTACACACTAGAACTTAGTTTAAACCTTCTTTAGAGATGAAAGCTGATCATATACTCACAGGCTAGCAGAGGACAAGGATCGTGACATTGAGAGTGGGGAAGAATAGGGAATTTTTGTCACCGGGGAAACTGGGACCATACCTGTCAACCCTACCGTTTTTCCCGGGATTCTCCCGTATTTTACCATTCTATCCCGCTATCATCCCGTTTAAATATTTTCCTGTATTTCTCCTGTATTTTTAATCTTTCTATAAAAAAATTTTAAAAATCCCACTAGGCGTATTTTATATGTTTGCTACATTCGCTTCCGGTCAAACTCCCGTAATTTGTATGGGCCAACCTCATTATATGAATAATCACGACAACAAATTCCAAGGTTGTCCAGTTGGCAGATCTTGTATGAAACGCATCTTTCTCACACGATCGACGCATACAATTGTTAACCCATTTGTCCAATCAAACAATGATCACTGGTAGAAATGGGAGGAGAAGACTCAGGTGGTGCAGTGAAAAAAACTAAATATGTAAATGAATGTTTACATTTATAATGAGATTATATAGCTTACACTTCAAAAGGCAATTTAATTGATTAAATATGAGCGCTGCAAGTTTCAAAGTCAGGTGCTGCGCTGTTTTGTTTACTGCGGTTATGGGAGAAATGGTTACTGGCGAAAAGCGCCACCTGCTGGCACAGAATGAATTTGCATTTTTCAATAAGCTCTTCTGCTCTTTATTTTTAGACCAAAGCCAAAAACGACCCTTATGTTTACGCAGAAAAGACGCAGTTGTAAATGTGAACTGGTGGATCGACAAGAAAATAATGAATTAATAAAACTCTAAAGATATCCTACACTAAGATATATTTATGTTACTAAATGAATATAATTGTTTGATAATAATTGTTTAAATAAAAATAATATAATATAATATAAAAATGTTAACTTTTGACTCCGCCCCCCCCCTCTTTTGATAAGAATGGGCTCTCCCTCTCTCTCTGAGCCTGCTTCTGCATGTATTCAGGTCAGTGTTTCTTTGTCCGGTCTCGTCAACATGTACGAGTTTCTTATGCCTGCCTGCTGTGGATTACCTTATGTGGATAATATTAAAGACTTTTACTTTCATCTTCGTGCGAGTTCATTCTACACAAAACCGTGACAGTGATATTACTGGTTTAGTTTATCATATATACATATTTTGTAGTTTATTTGATAGGGACAGTGTCCAAGTGCACCAAATCCTTCTCTGATAAGAACCAGAAAATGCTTTTCATCGCATTATAATCAGATATATCTTTCCACCTGTAGTCCCTAATGGCCTAAACCTATGTTTAGTTTGTTTTTAGGAAGGCTACAACTTTACTGTTCAACATATTGTTTCAGAAATGCAAACAATTAAATATTACCCCTAACCAGGCCCGTAACCAGCTATGAGGCCACCGAGGTCCAGACCTCTGTGAATGTGCTTGTAAACAAAAACATTTTATTCTAGCTTCATGCATTATTTTTTTAAACACTTGAATTTGGATAAGTTTCATAAATAAAAAATCCAGAAATAAACAACATTTTGAACAAAAAGCTGAAAAAAGACTATTAATTGGATTCAGAATGATAATCAAAACGTAGATAAAGTCGATCAACGTCCCAAAGCTTGACAGTCATTATTACCTCTTCATTGGTCGACATTTTATTCCATAATGTTACATAGTTTTGATACTGTTTTATGTCTGATGATCGTGTTAGAATACATGTGGAAGCATCTGTTGTTTCGGTTTCTTCTTCACTTGTGTTTTTTGGAAATTCTGTACAGAAGATGTGTACTAGCGCCCTCTACAGTATAACAATGAAAACACGGATTCTAGGAGCACAATTATAGCTGAAATATATTTAGACTTTTTCTAAGTACAAGTCAAGTATACTTAAATGTCATTTTAATATATTTCTGAGAAGTACATAAAGCCCATTTCTGAGAAGTACATAAAAAGTAGACTAAAAGTATACTTTCCTATTTTTAGTTTAAAAGTAGTATACTAATAGCACACTTGAATAAACTTCTTTTTCGTAAGGGATGCTGGAGCTTTATTCATGTTTGCAGTGTTGAACTGCCTTTAGCAGCCTCCCTTCGCTCTTTCTCTCCTTTTTTGCGAAGGCATTATTATTATTTTTTGTCTACAAAGTGTGTCAACAACAGCGAATTTTGTGTTATTTATATTAGATATGATCGGGTACAATAATTTGATTAGACATTCTAATTCTAAGAACGTGGATATTTTGTTGTTATCACTTTTAAAAGACCGAGAGCAAATCATTACCGACAGAAATACAAAAACAAACTACCAAATTACTAATTCAGCTAATCATCCATTAACTGTAATGTGGATTGTAATGCATCTACCCGTTAATGCAACGACATTGGGAACTGTGGTCTCCACTCCAGAGAGCAGCACACAGATCGTGAGAAATGCTGCGGAGCGGGCGGGGAAACACGGAGCGGATTACCGGAATCAGCGGATCTTTAGCGGAGCGGGAACAGACCGCTTTGAGCGGGGGAGGGCGGGGGAATGGTGAGAGGGGCAACTCAGCTGATGAGGGCAAAGGGGCAGTGGCTCTAGCCACCGGGCCACCCCCCTGTGCACTGCCCTGCCTTACAGCACTAAAGAGAGCTAAAAACAAGCTAAAACGCACCTTGTCTCTGACTTGCTGACTGTAGGTTAAATCTCGGTTGGACTGTAATGCCAGTCTTGAACTGGAATGTTTTCAATGACAAGTGTTACATTAATAAAGTACATGTTTACAGTGTTCTCTTCTTCAGATCCTCTGTTCCTACATCCATACAGCATTACATGTTGTCAGAAGAATACATGCCCCATTTACAATGCATATAAAAAGCATTCGCTGCCTTTGAATTTTTTTATTTTTATTTGAATATATTTTAAAATGTAATTCATTCAGTAAAGCTCAACTTTCAGAGTCATTACTCCAGTCTTCAGCGTCACATGATTCTTCAGAAATCATTCTAATATACTGATTTGCTGCTCAAGAAACATTTCTAATCACAACCGGTTGTGCTGCTTAATGTTTTTCAGGATTCTATGATGAATAAAAAGTTCATAACAGCAGTATTTATTTGAAGTAGAAATCTTTTGTAAAGATGTTATAAATGTCTTTACTATTGTTATTGATCAATTTAATGCATCCTTTCTGAATAAAAGTATTAAAGAAATAATCCAACCAAAAATGAAAATTTGCTGAAAATTTACTTTCCCCCAGGCCATCCAAGAGATGAGATGTTTTTTTTTTTTTTTATACAATACAATAATTGTGTCAAAGCAGCTTTACGGTGTCAAACAGGAAATAGTTTGTCATGCAAGTGGACAATAACAAAGAGTCATTTTTCCAGCTAAAGACAGTTCATTGATGATTCAGTGATGCCATCGTTCAGCTCTCTTCATCAGTACATATTTGGAGTAATTTAGCATTACATCTGCTAAGAGCAAGTGATGTACAGTAATGCTAAATTTTTTCCAAATCTGCAATGATGAAGAAACAGACTCATCTACATCTTGAATGGCCTGATGGTGAGTCAATTTTCAGTCATTTTCATTTTTGGGTGAACTACTGCTTTAATGCATTTCAATAAGTTAGTAAGTAAATAAATAAACAGTAGTGAATGTTTGCCATGAAGCTGTGGGGATGCTTCTCTGCATCAGGCCCTGAAAGGTTGGTAAAATTATGTTAAAATACAGAAAAACCTGCAGCCAAGACAACTGCAGATTTGGGAGAACATTTGTTTTCAGTGACCCCACAGCTACAGAAGAGTGGCTTAAAGACAGCTGGAGTCAGAGTCCAGCTCTCAGTCCAACTGAGCATTTATGGGTTGACTTGACAAAGGCTGTCCACCCGTGATCTCCATGCAAACTAACTGAGATTAAGCAATTCTGCCAAGAAGAATGAAAAATGACACTAGAAAATTACACTAGACACATACAGTAGTTTCCACATATACTAAAGACTGGACGTGGACTGCCAAAGGTGCATCTACTCTAATCCTCTGTGGTTTGATTCTTGTTAGACACAAAAATGTCCAAATTTCCATAGATCATATTGACATACCTTTGATTTTGAACAGTCATCTCTAACTTTGATATGTAGGCATTCTGTTCTGAAAGTTTCCTGCACAAATTAGAAAACAACAGAAATGAGGCAAAAATACAAAAAGAAATGACTGCGCTAATGCAGTACTCATGCATCTGGACATCTTCTGCATCTCTTGTTGCATTTTCAGGCCATCCTCCTTCATTCTCTCAATCTGTTTTATTCAACATTAATTTGATTTTGTTAAAATGTTTCTTACCTTGTGCATGTTAGTTAACGGGGTCATATGATGCGATTAAAATTTTTCCTTTCTCTTTGGAGTGTTACAAGCTCTTGGTTCATAAAGAAGATCTGTAAAGTTGCAAAGACTAAAGTCTCAAATCCAAAGAGATATTCTTTATAAAAGTTAAGAGTCAGCCACGCCTACCTAAAACGGCTCGTTCTAACACGCCCCCACATATCTACATCACTATCTGGGAAGATTTGCATAACGCCGCCCAAATATTCACGCAAAGAAAGAAGGCGTAACCGCATCTACCATATCCAAGTATCAGAGCTAGTCATGTTAAGGACAGGATGCTCTCACCTTGTGCTGATAGTGGGCCAATAAACTTTTCTGGTGTCTGGCCTGGAATTGTGAAACATGCAGAGCATAATAAATATGTCTTTATGCCATAAGTTCATGATTAACATAGCTGCATTCAACTCATTCATTTATGTATAGGATTACCTTGCTTGTCTCTGAGAAGTACTTGACTGCAACTGAACTGATATCTGAGAAAAGCTCTCGAACCTCTGAGCTGCTCTATGAGAACAATACACAGATTAGTGGCACAGTTCATTCAAATGAATCATCATCAAAACACACACACACACACACACACACACACACACACACACACACACACACACACATCTTTTGTATCTTACGTTATCAGACAGTGGGGAGATCTGACACTTTGCTTTGCAAATGAGGCATACGCCCTGCTTTCCTAAAGGGGAAAACAAAGACACCTCTCTGTAAAACTATATTACTTCCAGCAGAGGCCAGTATATCCACACTCTCACTATATGTAAAGTGCTCACTATATGTAAAAATTCATGCTCTCACTATATGTAAAGACAGCACCATTATACCATTTTGAAATCTGAATATATAATTTAAATATAATGTTAATGTAAAATTATAATTTCATATATAATTTATAATGTTAATACTAATTATAATTATGTATAATATAATAGGTTATTATAAATAATATATATCACCATATGCCAGTCAAATGCTGTATGCACCTGTTATTGCCAGAACCCTCTCTAGACTGCTCACACGGTTTTGAAACACAGCCTATGTGTTATTAAGATCACACATATCATTTCAAAGCAAACCGATCAATCTCGAGTGCTTAATTAATTCATTTTAAAGCACTGGGTTTAAAATATCTACTGTTTTCTCACTTGTGAAGGAAGAATGATTGACTTAGAAATGTGAAAATCAAAAAGATAAACCGATTAAATGTACATCAAACGGGGGTAAAAAATAAAGGTGGATGTAGGCCTATAGCGTTTGAGCCAAATATACAAAATAATGTAAAAGAATGTCCCTGACGACTTCACGAAAGTTCTGTGATCACTAAATCTCTCAAATTACACACCTGTGTCTTTTTTACACGCTATCCAGATTTATACCAGTCGTGTGTACACTAAATTGCAGGTTTAGGCTACTAGTTATCATATAAATAATTAGCAGATTTTCGGATGCTTTTTGAAACGACAACGTCACGTTTACGAAATCGCGCACTCCTCCGAAAAAGAGCAATGGTGACCGTAGTTTCCGCCAAAATACTGCGACGATCCTAAATCATAATGAATTAAATATTTACTGTTAAGTCAATCAATCAAACAAACAACATTTATATTTCTGTTACTGTATCTTCTTTTTTGATGGCGGTGTTGATAGTTTTATATTAATAAACGTAGTTAAAAGGCTTGATATGTTAGTGGAAACTAAATTAAATATGTAGATTTTGTAAAATAAATATTCGTGGTTGAACACACTGTTAGAGTGGAATAAAACACAAAGAGAAGAATCTATAGGTATTTAATAAGTATTATGGATTTATTAAAATCACTTCAGTTATGAAACATTCTCACTGCAGGGTAAATGCTCAGATGTTTATGCTCAGATGAAGTCATTTAGACTTCAACATTATGCTTCAAACAATGTTACAGTTGTCCAGACACACAGTTAGTCATTTCGTAAAGCTAAACCAACTTCTTTTCGATGAGAAAGTTTTTGAGGTTTTTCATTTGCCAGATTCCAACAGAGAGGAGTATTGATGTCTGAATAATGGCCCACCGCAAAACGTTTCCATTTGTTTCCTCACTCATTTGGCGAAACTTCTCCTCACGTTCCTGGTTGCAGTAAAATAAACACATACAAATTGCACATAATCACCAGAGAGTGAGTACCCCTTGGAAAACGTGGACAGATGACACTCGGTCTGGTTCTTATTCTGATCCTGGCAAGCAATTAATATGGTAACATTTTGTTGTCAGGCCATCCTGCCTGTGTTTGCTTACCCTTTGGAAATTTTGCTGCCTGCTAATGTAACGCATCTGGTCAATGAGATGTTGCAAGTTGTACTCCATTGCTTTCATAGTGTCCTTTGCCTTCGCAGCATTAGGATCAATGGCATGCTCGCCCATCTGGACATCTAAATGCACTTTCTGTACATAAAGAGAATAGTAAAAGCACAACTATATCTGACATTTTAAAATTCAACATATGAGGCCACAGCATTTCACAACTCACCAAACGATCTCCAGCAAACACAGAGAACCTGGTGGAGTTGGACTGCATGCACAAGAAATGTTGACCCGAAGCATGGGAGGTAACGGTGAATTTTCCATATCTTCCAAAGCGTTTTAACAAGACCACCTGCATATGACAGAACACATCACAGGAATTGTTGCAGGTGGTTACAGTTCAGAGTTTATTTGAAGAGTTGAATGCTTCAGACCGCATGGTCAGGGTCTCTCACAGTCACGGTTAAACCAAGGTGTTGGATATTGGCCTTCTTATTTTCATCCCAGTGCTCTAGCAGAAAGACGCCTGAAGGGAGAAACCAATAGTCAATGATACTATAGTCCTTATTACAACATTTTTACAGTACGTTAGGACCAGTGTAGCTACTTTCTATGTGCAGTGCACTACAGTACCTTTACTCCATGACCCACAAAACTGAATTCCTATTGATACATGTTCAAATCTTGCTGGAATAAAGAGTTAAATGGATCATTCACCACATGAAAATGAAATTTCTGTTATTTTGTGAGGTCTGTGTTTTTACTCCACAAAATGTAGTTTCCATAACCATTATATTCCAGTCCCTTTTAATTCTAGATGTCATGGTACGACATATTTTAATTACTTATGATAATGCACTTTTTACCTGAATTATTATTTTTTTAAATAAACAAATTGACAATATTTTTGTACCACTATTTTGGTCAGATCTCTGATCCGTTTAGTAGATATAAGCCCCTAAATAGTCTCTGACTTGGCTGTTGTACACTGTAAAAAATGACCGTGAATTTAATGGTAAAAGACTGTAAAAATGCTACAGTAAAAACCTGTTAAATGGTTAACGGTAAATTCCCCTTCTATATACGGTGAAAAACTGTATTGGACATTACATGTAATTTTACGGTAGTATACCGTTTTTGAAAGTGAAAAAGACCGTATAATTTACAGTGAATAACCGTAAATTGACATTCCCAGAATTCCCTGCATTACATTTCAAATTTGATGTTTTTTTTGTTGAAATAACTATGTTTCTTCTTAGTTTTTTCTTATCAGTTTTGTATATTAGGGTTGTGTGTTACACCTAATGTTGTTAAATGAATGTGTATTGCATTATTTCAGTTTCGTGTGTGTCACCATGATGGTGTTTGGTGTTTGTGTGAATGAAACTGTGCACCTTCTATATATGTTATTATTTAAAAGCTGCTTGTGATGGGCTTTGGTTCATCGTGTGTATCTCATTACCCCCTGCTTTTGGTGGTTATCAGTGTATTACAAGGTACAAAACAGATTTCAGTATATCAATAGGTTGGTATATTAACATTATATCAGTTAATGAAATTATGGTATTTAACTGTAAATTTAAGATAAAACTGTAAAACCTAAAATGTTGCTACCGTATTTTTTACGGTACAATTCCGGCAACCACAGCTGCCGTTTTTTTTACCGTCAATTTTACGGATTTTTTTTTTACAGTGTAGTCTTGATAAGAGTGGGCCAAATGTATCACACCAATTATCGAAAACGTTTGCCTCCAGAATTTATCTTGATGTTTGGACCACAAACAAACAAAAGCCCAAACATAAAGTCAACAATAAAGGTTCTACACATATTAAAAGTAGGATTATATTTTCAAATTGTATATTAAATCACCTGTTAGTGGGAGCAGTATATAAGGAGAAGTGTTCCGGGCCCATTCAGGATCAAATAACTGATTCGTCTTGTGTAATAGAGCAAATATGTATAGCATTGTATAACAGCACAATTCATCTTCACTGACCTGACACAAGTGTGTCCTCTGGAATCTCCTCAATGATACACTTTTCCTCCTGTTCCCCTAAATCAAAATACATCGCAGGAGCCAAAATGACAAAACTGGCTAGCAGCAGGCCTGTCAGCCTCACATTCATTACTGTAAAACAATTCATTTTTAAGGTAAGAAAGTTACAAGTAACAATAACACGACACTAGTAAAGCTTTATGTGCCCAGCAGGCTTAGTGTGAGAAATCTTCAGCTGCTGTTTGTAGAGTCACGTTTAAACAAGGTAATCAGAAAGTAATGATAAGACTAGGGAGAAACCTAAATATGTTGATAGAAATAGTCAACCTATTACCTGTCTTGCTTTGTTAAGAAATATAGTACAGTCCAGCCCAAAAACTATTTAGACACCGTGTCACACTTGAAAATGTTGTGCATTAGAAAACAAAATATCAAACCAAATGTCATTTATTAGAAAGACATCACAGTTTTCGAGCCAAATATTTCACAAAAAGGTATCTTTTAGAAAAGTATAATACATTTTCACACAAGCATGAAAAAGAAACTTGTTTTATTTATTTGTATGTACAACTTTATATACAGTTTTGCAATTAATGTACAGATATCATCCACTGATGCAGCATATTTTGAGGAGAACAGAGTATTTTTTACTGAAGATGTTTATCTCGACTACTGAGCTTGATCATGTCAATGGTGAGTTTGTTTTTCCACCAGAGAGCACCAGACTCCATGAACAGTGCATGAGGACAGTGTGCGACACTTACAGCAAACTCAGCCTATAAACTCCTGCTATTAGAGCAAATATTGCTGTATTGAAAGTATTTTTGACATCTGCAGTTCCTCATATTTTACTCTCAAATGTGATACACTTACTGAGAATTTACTTTGGGTACTTCAGTCTTCTTTTTAACTTGGGGTATGTTGCCTAGCCTGTTCATTACCACATTTAAGCTTGTTAGCTCACCCGCAACATCATAGCTTTAAAAGAACAAAGTCATTCCCTTTACAATGTCTCATTTTAAAGCTGTTAACCAGTAGATTCTTCCCTGTGGATGAGGTATGGATGGTAGGTCCTCTTTATTTTCACACACAGTTGTCAGGGATACAGAGCTTCTTTTCCTCTAGGGGTGGGCAGGCAGCCCCATTGTTTGCAGGATGCATGTGAATATAGCGGGTTCTGTGTTTTACCCCTTTCTCACCACACTGACCCTTACAAAGACCCCAAGGTGACCAGACAGACACCTCACAGTCCAGAGGGGTATCTGTAGAAAAAGAGATGTTGATTAGTACTAATAATTTGAGGAGAACTGGGAACAAATAATTGTAGTTGTTAATAATAATTGTAGTTCATTAAAATAAAATCACCCAATCAAAACTTGTTTTGGTGCACTATTCCTTTAAAAAGTGAAGTGACAGTGACCTGTAGCCAAGTATGGTGTCCCATACTCGAAATTTGTGCTCTGCATTTGTCCCATCCAAGTGCACACACACAGCAGTGAGTAGTGAACACACACACAGAGCAGTGGGCAGCCATTTTTGCTGCGGCACCCGGGGAGCAGTTGGGAGTTTGGTGCCTTGCTGTACATTCACTCCCCCCACCTACAATCTACCGAGACTTGAACCCGCAACCTTTGGGTTACAAGTCCATCTCTCTAACAATTAGGCCATGACAGCCCCCAAATAGTTATTAGCCCAATTAAATGGGGCTAATAAGGTTTAGCAACTTGATCTCAAGAAAACATAACTAGTTTATGTTTTTTGACAAATTGGTGGCAAATTCATATGAATTTGTACTATTTGAGTCGTGTGAAAATGAAAAGAAAAAAAAAACAAGCAAGAAGCATGATCCAACCAGTTTGTATGAAAACGTATGAATGACAATTGTACTAATTCAAATGAGTTTGTCACCAATTTGCCAAAACTTTCATTAAAATTGCCATGAAAATGTTTCGGGCTAAGCATTTATATTCATATTATTTGTAAAACATTTGGTAACACTTTATTTCGATAGTCCACTTTAGACATTCTATTAACAGTAAGTATCTTTGCAACTACATGTCAACTAGCAGTAATTAGAGTATTAGTAGACTGTCTGCTTAATATCTTCTAACACTTTCTTTGTCAACTTATTCTACTAACCCTAAACCTACCCTAAGTCTACTCTGAGAGTTAGTAGACATGTAGTTGCAAATTAATGAGAATTAGTTGACATGTAGTTGACATGTAGTTACAAAGTTACTTATAGTTAGTTAGTAGAATGTCTAAAGTGGACTATCGAAATAAAGTGTAACCAAATATTTATATTATTTGTGAAGTATAAAAAAAAAAGGAAAGTTGCCTAAATGCTAAATCACTTTAATTTAGCATTTAATTTAATGTTTTATGATAAATTAAAGTTTAGGGCTGAAATAATTGCTTCTCATCCTGAACCTGCATAGAGAGATCTCTTGGTTCACCGATGCTTTCCAGAAATCCTGACCTTGTAAAAAGGTTGATATCTATCACAGACTTGTGTACAAGTAGGAAAACACATGACAAACACTTCCTGAGTTCTGAGTGGCAGAAAACTTTTAAACGGGTTGGCCTCCATTATCGTGTTTGCAGTTTGTTGTGTTGGTTACCATGGGAGTGGATAAACCTTTCTACAGCCCGCAATTTAATCACCACAAGTTCTCTCTACGGATTTGTAGTGTTTCCCTTGAAAACGGAATACATGCATTTAAGATTCAAATGCAAGTATATCATGAATAAGTTCTGTATGAGGAGACAATGCCAGACCATTACAGCATAATTTTTTTACAAACAATTCCCAATGCTTACTTATGAGAGACCCATCTATTTCATTCCCACTTGGAATCTGATTGGACTGGGTCGGCTGAATGGGTAAGCTGAAGATCTGGTTGTTCTTGATCTTTGTTAGGGAGACTTTAGCTATTGGGGGGAGATGCTTCAGTCTGGGATAGTAGAAGGAGTTTGCAGGGTGACTTGGGAATGATGCGATTATCTGTTGAGAGAAGACATATCTGTAACAAGATCTGTAATAAGACCTCCATCCCTGCAGAAAAATGTCGGTTAGGTGGTCCGGTTTGCTGGTTTTAGGAGGCATTTTGACCACTGACAAACTGAACCAGCTTAAACCAGCAAACCACCTTATGCTGGTTTAAGTGTTTGTTTGTTTGTTTTTTCTCAGCAGTGACTGGTTCCCTAAGTAGGCAAACTGCTGAAAAAAATACATCTTAAACTTGCTTAAGATTGTTTACTGGTCTCCTCTGGCCTCCAAGTCTGGTCAAGCTGAATTTTGAAAACTTTTCAATTGGTGAGGCTGGGAAACCTGCTGGTTGCCCAGTTAAACACCAGCTTGGCCAGGCTGGGAGAACAGCTTGACCCAAAAAGAAAGACCAGCAAACCAGCTCATTCTGGTCAAAGAAGCATTGTTTCATGGAAAACATTATAAATATATATGACTTGTAGGGTTATCTGCTTTTAGACATTACCTGAGTGATCTTGTCTTGAGGAATGGTCTCAAAATTTGGTGAAGAGAAGGTGAAACCACTATCTGTGCCGGCATCGTAGGGGTAGAGATCTAGGCTTATGTTTTCTATCCAGTTATCACCCTCGCACAAGTTTAGACTGTCTATTCCAACAAACCAGTCAGGACTTGGCACAATGCGGACAATGAAGGACAGCTGCAAAACAAGAAGACCATTAGTGTTCTGTTCCACTCTGGTTCTAGCTTGCTCATTAGCTAGTATGAGTTGCTGGCTGGTTTTCATTAGGAAAGTTTTATTATTTACAATTCTCTCTATAATATTTTATATGGAATGCCTGGGAGGCCAGTGAAGTATGTGCATGTAGAGAGCCAGTTCCAGAAGAATGCTTTGGACACAGTATGGAAGTGTCCACATCTTCTGACTGAAAACATCTGTGTTTTTTTATTTAAAAACTACTGGGAAAAAAAACAGCTTAAACCAGCCAATGGTCATTTGCTGGTCTTACTGTAGATGGTCAAAGATGGTCTAGTCTGTATCTCAGTATTGCCAAATAAGAGTTTAGTTGGTTGATCTGGTCAGCCTCGGGGTGTTTCAGCCTGACCAGCTAACCGAAAACCCTTCTAATTGGATTTGATATTCATTTGAGTAAAATATAGCTGCATAATATGCATATAAATACGTCATATGCAGGGCCATGATTTGGTGCTGAAGAAAGGTTCAGACTTTTCCTTGCTTTAACCTACTGCAGTGTACTTACTAAGGAGTGTCTTGCATAGACTTCAAATTCTGTGGTTGCCTGACCGGTTCCTCCAACCACAGCTGGCGCTGAAAAGAGGCCATAGACGCTCTGGATCCGTTCCCCAGCTGCCTCCACTTCCTTTATCAGGGTCCAAGCCTCTGCTCTCTCAGAGAACTCTCTCACTCCATTACTGGCGTACTCGTTCCTTTGCCAGATGTGATAGTCTGAGCTGTGAGTTACTCCTAAAATGAAAATTATATTTATTTTCGATGTGTACTTCTACTTCAGTGCATATCATGCTGCCCAAGCTCTGCCATCATTGTCTTGCTCAGACCCATAGGAACAGAGTGTGAGTTATACAGTGGCTTGTGAGGGGTTGACTTTATTTTATAGGAAATTTTTAGACAAAAATCTTGAGCAACCCAGATTATTTTGGGCATCCCTAAAGCACAGTTTAACACTGCCAACTATCAGTGTTACTGTATTTTTATATACTTTTGTGATAATATACAAAAATCTATAAGAACGTTTTAAATAATGATTTTTATTATCCATATTAGCCATAATCCAATAACGATCAGCAAGCAGCCATGCAAAAAAAAAATACGCACATTGGCTAATAATTTATAAAACATTGTTAAAACTTTAAAAACATCAATGTTTTTACTGGCATTTATGGTTTCATGAACATTTGACATCCATGAAAACTTTCCACTGCACTAAAGTTCTCCAGATTATCAAAATGTTCTTTACACTAAGAAGAAAAAATTGTTCTTTTAAGAACTGTTCCCTGAAAGGTTTTTGGGGGAACCAAAAATGGTTCTTCTATGCCATCACTGTGGAAACCCCCTTTTTGAACCTTTATGTTACGTTTGTATATCACAGGGCTGTCCAAACTCGGTCCTGGAGGGCCGGTGTCCTGCAGAGTTTCACCTAACCTTTGTTTTGACTTCCTTTGGAGGGGTTAATCATAGTTACTGGGTCAAACCCCCTCAATAGGAACAATGTGAAAGGATTGGGTGAACAGACCCAAAAAGGGGTGCAGCAAATGTTAAACATTTTTACAAGAATAATGGTTACTACTACCCTGTTCTTACTCATAAGATCAGCCCACTCACCAATGATGGGGGACCACTGAGCAGGTGGCCTGTACAGAGGGTAGTGTTTGGGGAAGGCAGTCTGAGTCCACTGGCCGGTAAACGTCAGTCTGTACTTGGCTGCGGACGGCGCCATGCACACGCGGTCCACGTCGACCGGCATTGCAGGGACTCCACTCAGCAGGGCCAGAGTCCCGGTAAGCCACTGCAGCCAGCAGTTCACTTTCAAAGATGTCATCTTTTCCATGCTGGTTCTGTGAGGGAACAATAAACTGTTTTACCAGGCATGTGGATGCATGCCATAACCAGGTTTGAAAGCTTTGAATCACACCTTCCTTACTAAACTGACAATGGTAAAACAGTTGAATTAAAGACTTTACATAAGCTCCTGGGTGAGTGATTTGGTATAACTGTGTCATACACTGACTAAGAAGGAAAGAATGTAGGTCAGGATAACCAAATTCACTCTCTGTGTTTCCAGGCACTCTTACATGCAATATTCAGCAAAAGAGGGATTGACAATGAAATTGCATACTTTGTTGAAATTGGTTAAGCGATACTCAATATAGTATTTTTTATATATATATATATATATATATATATATATTTAAATCACTATATTAGCATAAACTGTTGCATTAATTTATATTATTATTATCCAACTGCATGCACCATGCACGATAATTAATTTAGTCATTATATTCAAAATATTCAAAATTAATTTAGTATGCATTCACAGTAGTAGTGTGTTTAAATATTACCTTTAAATGCATATGCCCTAAAAAAAAGGATTCGAATTGATCAAAATTAAGCAGAAGCCATTCAACATTGTGCAGCATGAATAAAACATATAGTTAAAGAAAGCACTTACAGGGTTTGCAGAGACAGATGAGGTTTTCTGCAGAAAAGTTGAGTGGAGGTCACCTGTGCCCAGGCATTCAGAGGAAGACTGCAAGATCACTGTGTGTCTTCCAGCTATTTATGCGTTTCCAGCGGTCCCCAAAGTCTAACAATATCAATAACCTCCTGACCCCTCCCAGATGTAGTATCGAGCTCTCCACGCTCTACAATTCCATATGGGATTTCCCCTTTTGGTCTCAGCAAACGAGTCACAGCCTGAATCAAGATTCACACTTTTTTTCCTCTCCCTACCAGAGATGCATAGAGAAAGCAGCATTATATGACGCTCCTGAGGGTTTTGTAGTCAGTTGAGGAGGTAGTATTATGGGGTTGGTTGATTGTGGAAACAGGCTTGGCTGGTGGATCAGCAGTGTGGAGGCACCCAGTAAGCCGAAAGCTAACAGATCCCGCCTGCAGCCCGTAATTGCTTCCACATGCTCACGTTTTGCCCCTCACCCTTCTCAAATTCTCTCCAGTTTCTTGACACTTAATTTGCTGAGAGCTGTTTGGATGTGGTTTTCTGCAAATCGGTTCCATTTCTGAGAGCTTACTTTAAGGGTTTTTTAATATCCCTCCGTTGTAAATCAGGCTTTGGCCCAACTGGATTGCGACATCTAATGTGTTTGACATGTGTTTTATGCCTGTCTCAATCTGGGGTCAGTTTCTGTCAACCATCCCTCATTGTTCATTTGAGTTGTCTCACATGTCACTCCATTTGGTCACAATGGACTAACTGAAATATTAATAGAAACTACAGAAAGTGTGTAAAAATGAGCTTGGATTGATCACACAAATGTATAACTCTAAGGAAGTAATAAATATATGAGAGTATCTTAAAATGGCCAAAATGTAGGTCATCATTTGCAAAAAAAAA